AAATGAAACTAAGAGGATTTTGTGAATTTGAGCTGGGAGCAAAAGACAAGGTGAAAGTGTCTGAAGTTTGGAAATAAGCCACAGTCTCAAACCAGCAAATTCTTTTTCCAAATGTTGTATGACTAAGGCCTTTCATCAGCAGTAAAATCATACAGAGAACATTTTTTAGTTGTTGTTTTGTTCTTTTTTTTTTTTGAGTTAAAGATTGTCTACAAACTATTTTCAGTAAAATATTGATTGTGCTTTCTTCTCTTGTCAAAAAAATGTTTCCATACATAGAGTTATCCCTGAAGAAAACCAAGCAACCATCCAATTTCTGGACCTGATCTGGTAATTTAGATAAAACTGCCATTTGGGTTAATGAAAGTTAAAACTTGATTTGTCAATGACAAATGTCTGCCTTTCTCTTGAACATTAGTAATTTCATTTTTGGCTAACTCTGTTTCAAACTCCACCACTGCAAAATAATCTGCCTACCAAATAAATAAGCTTAGCTCATCACATGCTTGATTCACTGCTTAAAGTTGGTTTTGGAGGGTGGAAATAGAGCTGTCTTTAGAACTGAGGAAATATGTGGGAATCAAGAAGCTTCCTACAACTCCCAAAATATTGGATACACGTTTTCAGGTGAGAAATTTTCCATCATAAGTGGAAAATTTTAAGCTTCCATTCAAAATCAGAACCTCACAGTATCCAGTTTTCTGTGTTATATACTTAAAACATATTCCTAGCTGGTCAGAAGAACCATTGAAAAGAAATGCTTCTGCTTCTGTTGAGAGAAAATTTCTAAACACTGGTGGAAAAGTTTACTTAAAGGACTGCATTTCTCTTCCTTCAATAGAGTTTGTGAATTATATTTGGCAACTTCCATGCCTTTGTGCTGAACAAAGCAGAGAATTGCGCAGAGCAGATTATTATTATTAATAATAATAACAACAACAATAGTAAATCTGCATCAAGAAGGACTGTGAAACATAAGTAGAAAAATATTCTTGTCAGTCAAGCCACTCACATCATGTAAACATACAAGCTAAACATTTTGTATGAAACCATCCAATCTTCCTGCAGATTATGAAGTATAATTTTGAGGATCTATAATGTATGATACTGCCGAACATGGGCTGTGACAGTGTGTAATATTCAGTAAAGTGCAGTGGCTTTCAAAAGCGTATGAAATAACCTTATCTGCAGCTCACTGTTTTGAAAGTTATTTGCGCTTCTTAATATAAGAATAATATCACGCTTTGTTGGCTTAGTGGTGGAAATTGATTTGGGTTATCAAATGAGGTATCATAAAACTCCAAGGTGCACTTACTGAATGTTCCGTATGTTTGAACCAGAAATACTATCTTCTTGACCATGTGTTATCAAGCACACTCTGTATGCTTGGCTGTGATTGCTATAAAATGTAAACAGATAGCATTCAAACTGCAGAATCTACTTGTCATTCCTTATCATCTAGTCAGTTTTCCTGCTTCCCACTGCCCCAGAGTTTTCTTAGGTGTTTCATATTTTGGCTCAAATGAGAGTGCTGCCTGTATGACTTCTTAAAAGATTTTTTCTGAAAAGCTCAGAGATCCTATGCAGCTCTGACAGCACAGCAAGAACTGAATTGCCAGCAGAGGGGGAGAGTTAGAGAGACACTGTGATTTGATCCAACATCCACTGAACTCAGTGGAGGTATTTTCACTGACCGGGTCAATAAAAAGAAGGAAAAACCTTGCACTACAGAACTTTGTGTAATATTTTCTCCAATTCACATTTTCTAGATGCTATCCTACTGTCTATCTATACCATCAGTTTTCCTTGCTGTTTATATCAAAGAGTGCTCATCACTTTTTCTGTGCAGTAATAAAAAAGCTGTGGAAAATGCAAGGCCACATATGGTCTCAGGAATAATAATTAAGATGAAAAAAATCTCGATTTACCAGAATGAAAAGGCACTGAGCAGCTTTAAGCAGAGAATGCCGTATGCCAACCCCTCATGCCCCTAATAAATCTGCACTTGATGGTGCACTGTAAGTCTTTAAGCACATTGTAGAAATGGGGCAAATCCTCTTTTGGAATTTACAGACTTAAAAAAATGAAAAGCAACGTAATTCCATTTATTTTAACATCATTAGTTTCTGAAAAGGAACCCTGATCATATCTTAGAATAGCATTATTGTTATTTCTATGATTATCACTATTTTTAACATGATACTGTACTTTGCTGCTAGCCAATTGATTCTTTTGCTCTGGAGTTACACAGGAGGTGAGAAGCATGTTAAGAGCTGGAACTGAAGCACAGGAATGAGCTATGGCTTTGCTTTTTTTTTCCCCAAGAATTTGTAATCTATTTATTGTCAGAATAATGTCACTGAGCCTAGATGGAGCAGTGGTGCCAGTGAAGGATATTTTTCTGTTCTTATGTCTTTTAAACAAGATGAGGTATCCCATCTTATCATTTCATATCACCAGAATGGTTTTGGAATTGTTAGCATTACATTAAAAATAAAAACAACCAAACAAAACAACCAAACAAAAACCCACAAACAGCTAAACAACACCCCTCTCCCTTTCCCAATAAAAAATAAAATAAAAATAAAGAATAAATAAATGCGTAACAGGGACCAAAACTCTAGTAGTTCTATTGGCCTAAGCAATTAATCAGGAGAAAACACTGAAAAGCTCCCCAGTTCCCTTCTGGTGTGTGTTTGCTTTCACCAACACGTAGTGTCCTCCTGGTCCTACGAGAATTCCAGTTCTCAGGGGTCCATTGGCTCCTTGGCTCCCTGTCAAGCCCTTCATCTTCAAAGCACTCCATCCCCTTTTGATGCCAGCATCTTTATTTGCATTTCGTAGCACCCAGAACAGGCTAGGCAAATAAGTTTAAAGTTCAACATATGCTTTGTAGAATTGCCAGATTGAAAAAAAAAAAATAACAACAACATTCAGGAAATAGAGAAATCCATGAACCCTTAACAAACATTGAGCTCCTGACAAAGAAGAAGGCATACTCGTCCTCTGCTGACCTAGGTCACCTTTGAACAGACTCAAGATTCTTTATCAACTTGCCAATTTTCCCATTCTTTTAGAGATCAGGTTTGTGTTTTGTTGTGTTTTCTTTGCGTGTTTATCTCTTGATCTTTGAGTAAATTACAAAATCTGAAATCAGCCATTGTGGAAACAGGTTCAGAGCTTCACAACTGACTTCCTGTTTATTTTATAACCGAGGTGCCAGTCTCTTTAAATTAATGCAACTCCTCATTTACGTTTTCTGTATTATTATTCAGATTTTCATAGTCACTTGGGCCTGCATTCTAACAGACTTCCAATATATACTGATTTTTTTTCCACTTTTTTTTTTTTTTTAAACTTTAATTCATTTCAGTAAACTCCAGTGGGAGTAAAGTGACAATCTAGTAGATTCCCTCATTCTGTGATTATCATCCCTGCATTATCCCTTGTGTATGGTGCCAAAGATCTTTAGGGCTAAATGAACAGCTGTATTTGGTCAAAATAGAGAATAGTAGAGTCTTACTACTTAGTTTAATAGGCTTACAAGAGTCATAGATGTGTGAACTACTTCCAAACAGTTATACAATATATATATATATATTTTTTTTTTTTTTTTTTTGAGGAAGTATGAAGACAGTGTCTTCACATCGCTTCCTGATCATGCACTTTCATATTTTATAAAGTAAGTCTTTCCTCACAGATTCGTAAGTATTTACAGGCCAAATGCTTTCATTGCCCACATTCCCAAAACAGCTCAGAGATAATGTGTAGAAACTGTTTTACTCTGAGGGCAGCATATACCATGTTGCAAATGTTACTGAATGTAAACCAAAATGCAAACAGCATAGCTGCAGTGTCTGTAGAAATCTCCTTTCCAGTGGCAGTCAGTAGTTTGGGATATGCTCATCTTCACAAGGCTGCACATAAGCACAGGCAAGAGACTGAACCTGGATCTTAAGGAATATATCAGGGCTGAGATATTGTCTGCTTAGATGGAGCTTACACTTCACTTGCAGGATTTATTCATGAACTAAAATGGCATTCTGAGCTCTTGGAAACAGGAACAAATTGGGTTTTTCTTTTACTTAAATTTGTAAAATCCATTTGTATTAAAATATTGTTTCTAAAAATGTGTTATATTTATCTGATATATACGTAATATATATATAATACAACACAATAAACAGCAACTGTTTGAATGTCCTCAACTACTTGTTTTAATTGCCACTTGTTTGATCTTCAATCTAATTTCCTTTGATACATTACTGTGGATAAAGCTCAGTGGCATCATTTCCATGTAAATTTATGCCACAGCAAATAAAAGAAGAGTTGGGCAAGTGAATCCTTCTCACTGTGAACCAATTTTGAGCCACCACATAGCACACATAGATATTTAACATTATTTTAGAGCAACTATTCATTCTATTGACACAATAAACAGAACAATTGTGGGACTAGTGTCCTAGTCATTTCTGAACAGTCGAGAGAAGAGAAAATAAATCAACAAGGGTGCTGAATGCATGCAAAACAAATGGAACATCTGGTTTTTGTGAGCTCAGTGAAAGGACTGATGTAAATTCAGATCTTGATAGTGCAGTCATGCCTCTCCACAGGGAGAAGCAGACCTTTTCGGACTTGAGCAGTACAGAAAACAATTAAGAGGAAAACAATAGTTACAAAGATAAGGCTAGTAGCATGAAGAGCAAAGCAATGGTAAGGAGTGTGTATGTATTTGTGAAAGCATGAATGTCTGAATGAATTCACTGTGTGTATACTCTTGTACTATGTGTACAAATACATTTTCATTTTCTGTCAAAATAGGATGAAATCAGCTGGATCTATCCAGTAATTAAGTTTTAAAATAGGCACAATAAAGCAATGCTTGTCATTGTCTGGTTGTTTTGCCCTAAAAAAAAAAAAAAAAAAAAAAAAGGCAAACACAGAAATGTGCAGCCGCTCTCCAGTGTATAGGTATGGAAACAATATAAAAGGTACTTTACCTTTGCTCGTGCCTCCGTGAGGAAGTTATGTCAAGGGTCCTTTGTTTCTTGTGTGCCAGCAGCCGTGCGACTGTAAAGAAAAACAGGGCTTGGGTTAATAATAAAGAAAGGTACAAGCCATAGACTCCAAAGACTCAAGTTAAACATTTACCCCAGCTTGTTCCTGTGAGCAAACTCAGAGGGTCTGCTTTGATAACTGCTGGCATCTTGAGAAAAGGCTGAGAGCCAATCTGCTGCTTGCCCCGCTACTTCCCGGTCTGCAGCTCAGACATGCACAGCAGAAAGCTAAAGTCACCTGTGCACATCTCAGTTAGGATTTCAAAACAAGAAGCAGGAAACTCTCCCATGTCAGAAAAGCTCTTCACAATTTAAATGCTACTTCAAATATTTACACATAGGATTGGATTCTGAATTACCCACTGAAATACCACTTAGGATAAACAGATTCAAGTTCATACTTACATTCTCTTTTATTTAGTCAGACTTTTTCTCCAGAAAGTCTTTTGTTTCTATGTTAGCATGAGGCTAAGGTAAAGACTTCCAGTCTATACAAGTGCAATCTCCTTTTCTGCCTGAGACGCGGGGCAGGGAGCACTGCATGTCAGTTCCTGCTAGGCAGATACCTGGAAACAGGTGAGAGCCAGGGTGGAGCACAGCCCTTGTTCCTCAGAAGCCATGCTGCTTCAGGACCTTTCAGAAGATGGACCTGCTACTGCTTTCCACTTTTCACAACATCATGTTCAGGCTATTCATTCAGGCACCTGAAGGTGAATTTAGGCACTTAAAGATGAATTTAGGTCATCTGAATTTCTAGATACGGTTCTGGACTAGTCAAGGTCAGGAGCAGACCAGACTGCAGTCCCCCCACAGAGACCCTGTGCACTTTTGAAACTTTTACATGAATGAACATGGAATAGAAATCCAAAACCACAGCAAACTGTAAGGACTAAATCGAGGGATGAGTTGCTGCATGGTGGTATGAGCTCTCTCCAGCTCAATGGGGCAGTTCGGCTAACTGATGATAACCTTGCACTTGCTGTAGCTGAGAGCAGAGTCAATGGGCAGTATATATTACAGAATGGATGACTTTTTTTTTTAACACTAAGATACTTTTTCATGTGCCAGGGTGACTTTTAGCAACATTACAGGATCTTCAAAAGGTTCAGCATAATTTCAGTTCTCTCTCCCTAGCTTTCAGGGTCTTTAGTACTTATTTTTATTCAGAGCCCTGAGGATCTACAAAAGCACCTATGCAGGGCAGGCTCCTAAAGCTCTTTAAACACCCTTTGTGATTTGAGAGGAGCTGGCCTAGACAACAGTTTACCAGAGGCTGAGGCCAGCTTGGAAAACAAATAATATAATAATAATAATCCAACACCACTGTATTGATTTTTAACGTCTAACGTTTTCCTCTGAACTCCCAGAGATATGACACAGGGAAGTATACTCCTCCAGTCTAAAGTAGCTGCACAAACCTTTGACTGCGTGATCACAGAGATGCTTGAAGGAACTCATGACCATTCTCACCCTATCCTGTGTTTGGATACAAGAAGGCAGGCTCATTTCTTTTAACGACGGTTCTGTTCCCCAGACCTGTACTCCGGCAGCTGAGGTACTAGGTTATGACTCAGAAGAGATAAGTATAATTTCCAGCTCAACGGCTAAACAGCCATACAACTTAGGGCAAAATGCCCTTTGTCTGTCTGGTCCATTCAGACTACGGGCTCTTTGAGGTAAGACCAGCCTCTGACGGGATATTTGTACAGCAGCTAATACAATGGAAAGCCAGTCTCAGTTTGGTAGTTCTGTGATACAAATTAATAACAATAACTAGACTTGACTGCTTGACAAAAAGCAAATAGTTTGGAAAAAGCTGTCTTAAATCTTTCTATCCCACTTCCCCAGACCAAAAAAAATCTACAAATGTTATTTCTTTTGGCAGCTGAAACCTAATCCTACCTTGGTTAGCATAACAGAGAGAACAGGAAGCACTGTGAAGGAATTTTTCATTCCCTGGGACGTCTTTGATCCCCTTCCCCTCCCTTTTCCTATCAGGTAATTTTCAAATCTTGATGTTTCCAGTTAGTCTACGTATCTTCTTGTTTTGTCTACTTCAGTCAAGTGTTATTTAACTTCCATTTCATGGATGAAAAACTGGTCTGCGTTTAGACTTTGCTGTTGTGTAAGCCGGAACCTGAGAACTTCAGAATCCCAAATGGGAATACAGCTAAAATTCACAGCCCTTGCTGGTGGAAAACCTATCATTACTTTGCTTTAACACAGACAAGGTGCATTCATACATTACATAAATGCTAAACAAATCATTTAATCACTTTCTGTTGCAGCCACCACTTTTTGTCACTTAGCTTTAGTGTCTCAGTTCAACTTTCCAACATATGGAGGAAATTTTTTCTCCATTATACATCTTGATTTATGCTCATCTAAAATGTGCAAAGCTCAAAACAAATTAATGTCTGTTTAATATTTGGGGTTCTGAAGGAATGTGTTGACCCTTATTTCAGTCCCACATGGAATGCAAGACTGCATCTCATGTGGGCAAGCTTTCGACAATAAAACAAGTAATAATTAAAATATGCATGACCCTCAAAGGGCTTAATTACCACACACTGCTGAGTGCAGCCTCATGCTTGTAGCATAGACAAGTCTGTAGCACTACAAAGCAGGAGATGACAACACACGCAAGATAAAAATGAAAACAAGATCATCTTAGAGTAGATAATGTAACACCCCCTTTGCCTGCAGATGACTGTTTCTGTCACACAAGCTGGAGCTTCAGTAGCATGTGCAAAGCACACCACTTGGAACTGAAGCAGCTGCATATGTACTCTTTTTGTGTCTCGTCTCCTGCTTTGAACCAATCACTGTTTGCCCTGTCTGATGACTGTAGGATGCTGTCTTTCTTTTTAGCTTTGATTTGGTCAGATGGTCCTTCTTTTTCTGCTTAGTATCTTCTTTATTTCGGTTGCCACCAAAGTCCTCTGCACCTTCAGGCCACCAGTCAGAAGTTCCTTAGAAGTCCATGGGAGTGAAGGCAATAGCCTGCTGTAGAAATTACTTTGTTCAAACAGTGCCATGACCATCTTAAGAGTTTCTCCTGGTCAAAGTGGCAGTGGTGGGGTTACCTACAGCAATGACAGAGCATCTGTCCCCCATCAAATTGAAGATGTCATCTGCCACCTACTTCAAAGTAGGCTCAAAAAATATCTGTGCCCTAAGAGGGATTTAGCTCTTGACTAGCAGAATATCTTACAGTCCCACAATCTCACGTATTCTACTTTGCAGTAAGAGCAATTAGTCCCATTTTATGCTGAACTGCAAAGATCACAAATGACTTCAATTAATATAATTCTACCTGACTCGAAAAAAAAAAAAAAAATCAAGTAAAATAGAGTCCAACAGGGAAATTTCAATTTTTTATTTTCACATATACAGATACTTGTTTCAGGAGACTACTATTATGATAGTCCTCAATGAAACATAATAAGATATATCCATAAATCCTTGTACCCAGTCCCATACTAAATACAGCTTCATTATATCTTCCCCACCCTGGCCTTATTATATTGAACTACTAATTATTATACATGGTTCAGATTTTCTGATAGAATGACTCACTGTAATTCTGCTTAGTAGTAATGAAGAAACATGGCTTGCTCTGGCAAATAATGCATGATAATCAACAGTGGTTTTGTCACTGATTCCTTTATTTGCAATACTATCTATAATTGGAAGCCACTGAAAGAGATACTGACTTGCTTAAATGATTATTACTGTTGACTGCAGCACTGTTAAACCTGAAAGATGACAACAGAACTGAAGTTAGACTCAAGTCTTTTGTGTCTTTTTTTTCTCTCTCCTTTTTCTTCTTTGTCCAGAGATGACCAACATCGCTTCTTCCTTCTCTTCTCAGGGAAAAGTTCCAATAAAAACTACAAAAAGTGACTGGAAGGCAGAGTAAATATATAATTTCCCTACTCTTTATGACTTGAACTTGTGAAAATCCAGAAACACTTTTATTATTATTCCATGTTATAATAACCTGCACGTGGAGGTAGATTCTAGGCCATTATTGACTTCACTGGTCCTGAAACCAGGACATTGCTCAGAGCTCCGTTTACAAAATGTATATAGCACTGTTCCACACTCTTGCTCCCAGCTATTTATAACTCCCCAGTGCCTGGAGCAAACAGCTGGGGAATGAGTTAGGGTCTCAATGGCACTCTGTGGATTCAATGGCACTATGCTTTTCTTTTCCATTTTTTCCCTTTTAAAATTGAAATCTTTTCAGCATTAGCAGCATAAAACAGGCACTGAATGAGACAGTACAAAGGCAGTCGATACCAGCAGCCTGATGGAGCTTATTTGTCACTGCCTGCAAGTACAGAAGCTGTGGAGATGCATGGCCTAAATAGGAGCTCATGCCTCAAGGATCAATGTGCACTGACTATACACCAACCTTTAAGTGTGTGTAATGGGCTGTGCCTGGCCATGACCCACCTTTTTTCAGGCCCCTCTGAGGTAGTGTTTGCTAAAGGGACTTACACAGGTTGGAACGGCTCTTAGCTCCGTGAGGGTGACTCCCTCATCCACCTGTGCAAGAGCCAACGACATGTTAGCTTCATTCATACTTATCTAGCAGGATGGCAAAGGAAATCACCAACTGCAACTTCCATTGATGTAATAAGAGAAGGATGGACTTATCTTGTTGTGAACAGAGGAAATTAAATGGAGATCGTCTCTATCTCTTTTTTTTTTTTTTTTCATATTAAAGAGTTCATTTGCAACCATCTCAGAAACATTTGATCTCACTCTTAGGGACTTCTCCTTGTGCTTTCCAGGTTGTGAGTGAAAGGGAGGACGTCAGAAAGATGAGGTAGAAGGTTTTCAATATATTTAAGTGAAGTAACAAGTCCAGCAAATATAATCACTCAGTTCCTTTACTCTGATGTGTTTCTTAGTTAAAATGGCAGACCCTTTTGATGTACGGTACCACAGTCCTGCC